ATTAAGACTGAGACCAAGCAGCATTGTACCTAATACAAGTTTCTGTGTATTTATTTGGGCCCTAACTCAGGCGGGTGGCTGATGTAAAGCTTACACGTGGTGGTAGGGCTCAGGCAGCTTTTGGCAGAAAGATTTATTGTAACATTGGTGGGTAAAAGCACTTGCTCTGCAAGCTTTAGGGCTTGAATCTGAATCCCCAGCACCCACATAGAAAGTTAAACATGGCTGCATGTGCCTGTAACCCCAAAGGGGTAGAGATAGGTAGATTTCAAGAGCTAGATGAAACTGCAAGTCTGAAGTAAATGAGAGATTCTGTCTGCAGGCCATAGAGTGCAGAGAGAGAGAGACAGAGAGAGAGAGAGAGAGAGAGAGAGAGAGAGAGAGAGAGAGAGAGAGAGAGAGAGAGAGAGAGAGAGAGAGAGAGAGAGAGAGAGAGGAAGACACCCGACCCCTGTTACGGCCTCTGTACATATACACACTTATGCACACCCCATATAAATACACACTCATGCTACTATGTACACACATGCCATATACATGGCAAAATATTATGAAGACAAACACAGATCCTAAAGCATTTTTAAAATGAGCAATCACAACTATGCACAAAATTTAAACCTGACTGCCCCAAACACCATATATTTATTTACTAACTGCAAAAACGCGCGCGCGCGCGCGCGCGCGCACACACACACACACACACACACACACACACACACACACACACACAGAGAGAGAGAGAGAGAGAGAGAGAGAGAGAGAGAGAGAGAGAGAGAACCTTTCTCCTGAGTTTTACTTGTCCTAGTTTGCTTTCTGTTTCTGTGATAAAACACTGACAGAAATCTACTTGAGGGGAAAGAACTTACTTCAGTTTACATTCTGTCGTCAAAGAAATCAAAGGTAGGAGCTTGAAGCAGAAACCATGAGGGTACACTGTTTATTCAATTTCTTTCCCTGACTTGATAAGCTACATTTTGTACAGCCCAGGCCCACCTTCCTAGAAATGATATGGCCCACAGTTGACTGGGCCATCCTCCATCAATTAGCAACCTAGAACCTACCCCATCTACAGGCCAATCTGATGGAGGCAATTTTTCAACTGAGGCTCCTTCTTCCCACATGTGCCAAGTTGAAAATCAAGATTAGCCAGCATAGAATATAATGTTGTTTTTTGCTACTTTATATTGTTGTGGTCATACAATACCAGAAACTTATTTTCTACTGAGAGAATTGACAATTTGTCTTTCTATTAGCATAATGGATTAAAATATACTATTCCTATTGATAGCTGAGACACACAAGCATGTTGTAAGTTCATATAGAGATTTTCTCTATGCTTATAAAAGTAACTTAGATTTGGGATTTTAACAATATACAAATTTTTTAACATTCATTTTATGTAATTTCTATCCAAAATAAATATAATTCATATTTGTATATAGTGTGTTATTGAGTATGTTTGTAACAAGAGAAATTCTTTGGGGACAGTACATTAACAATATTCCTTCATTAAAATTTTACACAGCAGGAAACTGAAACAGGTTTGTACAAAAAAAACTCTTTAATATTTAAATTTATTATT